GGGAAAGTTTACCACAGCCCCCTTAAGTAGACCCTGCAGCTCCAGCCTAGCTTGCTATGGGCCTGGCATTCAGGCTACAACTCCCCTGGTATGTTATCTGTCTATTTGGCTAGTTTCTACTCTTCCTAGCCGCCTCCAAAGCCTGGTGGAGGCTAATGTCCCCCAACGAAAGCCAGACGTCCGCTGGCTAATCGCCATGTGTGCGGCCATGTCCTGCAGACCCCGCCGCCCGCTGAGCTGCATCAGCGCCCGGATCAGTTGTGAAAATCTTCCCTAATAGAGTTTTTAATCATCGCAATTCATCTCGATCACTGTCTCAGCCGACGTGCCACCTTGCACTACAGACCTGCCATGATATTAAAATATATTCAAATTGAAGGCTTTTTGAACCAATCTTACCAGATATGGCAAAGAAACGGGATAGCATTTTGAGACAATTTTGTCACCTATCCTTTTCTGCAATTATCTATTCCAGCTATTCAGCAATCCCAGCGTTTCTAGCTCTACTCGACTGACAATCTGTCATTGGAAAAGATATAATATATTAAAGTCACTTATCTTCTTGAAATTCAATTTGATTTATTGATAGTTCCTTGGGTGGGGGTGAGGGACGATGGCACACCTTAGCTTTTATCTTTATGTTTTGTGACGCTGGCAAAATAGTTGCGCAAATGAGTACATCGTCGCTTTATCTTTGTTATTCTGGAAAAAATAACAATACAGAATCCACGACCGGTTGTTGGCAGTAAAGTAGTTTTTTCCCGATACTTGAAATCACTGTTTAGAAGCCAATTGGCGCTGAGAGTTACAACGTGATGTAAGGACCTGTATGTCTTTGTTTACCCACGGAGAAACATCTTTGGTCCTCCAAAGCTTTGCGTGCTACAGTTTTACAACCATCCTTATCCAGTACTTACCCTCGCCCGTAAATTGTCCAGAAGGTCACATGGGTTTGGGGAATCGCCAAACGATGCTATCCTTCTATCCAAACATACCCATCGATATTGTAAATCACTCTTTTTTATTTTCAAGAATGCCGAATGAACTGTTTCTGCCAATGGGCCATGAAAATTTACAACTCAGTATATTTCACGACTCCATTCTGAGCATCCGAACTTGACAGTTCAAGGTGAACGTCCAGCTGTCATTGTGTGTAACTGTCCGTGTACCGAACTTGTGTGCCTAATCATTTTTCTGATTCTAGATTCCTCGATTAAGATTAAGCAGTAAGTAGCTTGTCGTAGAATTTGAGTTTCCGTCTTGTTACGTATCTCAAAGTTGTTCTGGGTGTTGTCATTATTAGGTAGGGTAAGGGATATGAGGTTTTTATTAGTCTCTTTCAGGCTTCAGAAGCGGCTGGGAATACTACAAATTGGCAAAATGTACTCATTTGGTGGAACAACTGCGTAGGTTTTAAAACCCACATTGTCGACCACCTAATGTGTATTTACGTTTGCTATGAGGTAGGTAGAACTGGCGAGGAATGATGTTTTGTTGTTACAGTGAGGTCATGATAATAAAGATTTATTTCTGAGTAAGCCTGTTCCACCTGTCTAAAGTTTGTGTTTCCCCGCGACATTGTGTCGCTTTGTGTGGTTAGAGTACCGTCTCAGCAAGGAGCTTGTCTCCAACAGACTTCAAAAACAGTAAAATTTAGCCAAATACGGGGGATGATTAGCCACCGTACTGTAGAGCCTCACGTAGCTATAGCTCTAAGCTTGTTTCTGGGCTATCTAAAACCCTTCAGCTATGAAATAGTGACGAATATGTGCTAAGGAATGGCAACATTAAACAGATTTCTTCATCCAGAATACTTTTTGCTTTGCCGCCCAGAAACTACAATGGATGTCTTTAACAAGGCCTGGTGGAGTAGAAATTGGACCAATACTGGCAATAGAGAGATAACATGCCGAGGGAGTTGGTCCGCTGGAGAGTACAGTTTGGGGCACCCGGTATATACCCGAAACGTACTCTCTAGCGGACCAACCCCTTAGAATGTTATCTCTACTCTTCCCAGCCTCCTCTCGAAGCCTGGTAGAGGCTAGGCTCGTAGCACAGAGCGGCTTGGCGTGTGTACCCGTGAGAAGACCCGATGTTTTATCCTGTCCAAACTATCCGTGTGTGGACAGAAAGGCCGGAGTAGTTTGCATAGCTAACATAAGCACCAACCTCTCAGTTTCTGTCGCTCGTGCCGCCCTGTTAATTCCGATTGTTTTATGTGGTTCGGACGTACACAATTACAGCCAGGGCGGTGGTCAAAACTGACCACACTATTCTGTCTAGTCTATAGGCTCATGTGACCAGTAGTGGTGATCTACATGTGAGTTGGTCTTATGTTGCCCAACGTATGTTGTAATCTAAAGTCAGCTTCATACAACCCCTAAATTATCTGTATCATACATACACTCATTTGGGCATGTTGTAAAGAGACGATAACCCAAAGAAGATTCTAATATTGAATATTTTTGTGATTTTTTTTGTGGGAACGAAATAGGCAAGTTATGGGACCACTAGGAATCAACGACGGGACGCGAAAATGCTACAGTGCCGCTAGTAAAGCGAAGAAGTAAGCTGTGAACAGATATTGGAAGACATCGTAACATGCCACCAAAACTCCCACGGTACTAAATCTGTCAGTGGCCGGGCACTATTCCTGGCACTTCCCCACGGCTCGGGTTCCCGCCACACTATTTCCATCCCCGCCTATTAACGCGCTTTACCAGCCAGATACCGGCCTCTGTAGTCCCGGTCTAAGCCCGGGCTTAGCAGAGATGGGGATATCACTTGACGGGGAACCTACATAGAGGACAGGTATGGCATCTTGCCTCACAAAGATTTTCTCGAACTACTAGTAGTAGAGAGAGTTACTGAGTCACAGCAAGAAGCTTTCATCTGTACAAAATGTAAGGAACGAAAGACGGCAATATCATAGAGTGAGTGTGAATGTGGGCGCCTTGGCTAGAGTACGTGAGGTTTTTTTCTACGCTAAATGATATCATTCACTCCGAAACAGGCTGGTTGTTGGGGATGGTTGCTAGACAGCGAACCAGTTCTGGGCATGCGCACTTGCTTAGGATGCCTCCATCCGAAATGGGGGAGGGGGGCGTCCACCTGTCTTTTTTACACGTGAAAAGTCTGGAGGCTCACTACTTCTAACTTTTAGCCGTAATTAGCAGGAGACTTCACATCCTGTACGCAAATAGACAAGATCCGGAGACCGAGTTACTTCAATCCCATCTCTGTCGACCTGACGACAAGAAGGGATATCTTTTAAACCTTCGGCAGGGTTCTGGTGGATAGAAGATAATTAGATTATTCATCCCATGACAATCGTACCGTCTGCTACCTGACCTCCTAGGCTCGACACATCCGAAAAGCATTCCCAAGTTTACCAATGTTAAGTCAGACGCAAAGATGTTGCTGTTCTTATTTGCCCTCAGAAGTGCCGTGCAAGCACGCCGTGAATTCGTTGCATTTGGAAGCAATGTGGGAATACAGGGAAAGGGAGGGACACATATCGCCTAATGGGGACTAGGTCGTGCGATGATTTAAGTTCACAGTTTGCCGCTGACGTGATATTTTGATCTGTGACGGGTAGAATGAGCTACTCGGTCACAGGAAAGTCAACCCTCAGCGGGAGGGGCGAGACGTCCGGACGGGTACAAACGGGGGAACGGCAATGTCGCTCCGCGGGAGGGTGAAGACGTGTTCGGGAAAGTACGCCGCTGCAATGGCCTGGACGCCAGACCCATAGCACGCCATGCGAGTTAGCCAGTATGGATCAGGCAGGGTCTAACTTTGGCATACTTCCTTTGGGGCATGTTGGGACTGGGGCCGAAGAACTGGCCTGTGTAGGCTGGGGAACTGGCCTGTGTAGGCCCTGGCAAGTGGCAACTGCCTGACAACTGGGTCTCAGACCCAAACCGGGAGGATGGGAGTCGGTCCATGACTGGCCGGGTGAAGAACGTTTAATAGAATGCCGCCAAGTCACTCAGGGAGGGAGATCAAAAGAAGGAATGTCCCTTCATAAATTCCGACCAGTTTTCCAATTTGCAGGTAAATACCCGAGGCGGAGCCGACGTCGTCACCGCCCCATTCAGGTGCCATTGTGGTCCCGGCGACGCCAACACCGCCACCCAACAATGTGGACATGAAAAGGGCGCATGCCGGGGCGGAGACACGGCGCAAACAGCCCATACAGAATCCCTCAACGCAACACTGAAGCCCCGAGTGGTCTTTTCGCAGTGTCAGTCCGTAATGTGTGGGAAAACGTTCACACTCACATTGCGGAACTGTCGACAAAACATGTCTTCAACAAAGCTCTTTAGAGCCATGCATGTTCTTGAGAAGGCTGTGATGGCCCTGCAACAGAGTTGCTTGGTGTGTGGTGACCAGGCATTCACACTAAATGGGAAGAACTGGCGTTAGCTGGACCCTAGGTGGAAGCCACGTACTAAATCTGAATCATAGGTAGACAAATAGATGGCTGGTAACCCTCCGGTGGAGCAGGAGGATCACAAATGTAGCGTGAATGGAGGTTTTTCGGTCTTGCCAGCCGAAGTGGTGATTCTTCACCACAGATGAATGGGTCTGACTTCGCCGCTCTCCAGGCGCGACATGACTACATTGTATCCTGAAACCGGTCACTGCAAGGGTAAAAGGCGGAGGCGGTCCATGGGGTGTTTGAGAAGACAGGAAGCGCTCTGATAAACGTGAAAGGAGCCCGTCCATCAGCTATCGCCAGCTACAAACTACGTCGCCTTCCCTTAGACTACCGACAAAATGCACACAAGGGACCAATGCTAAAGTATACCTCTCAAGTGCTAGTAAGAGTTCTATGACATGGTAAAAGATAAGCGTGATGATAGATAGATAGATAGATAGATAGATAGATAGATCTGATGGAAGTTGTTGTTGGCTTCTTCTTCGTGTCCGAAGATGAGATGGAAGTATATAGTTTACAAATGTAAAAGTAGACTTCTATAACAAATGGAACGAACCTTTCTGCCAGCTTCGTTGTTGTGCATGTTCATCATCTGCCGCGCGTGCGCATGGGACCCAGGCGTCGGGATGATCTCCTTCTCTTGAGCGTCCACGAACTCTCGCGCGAAGTAGTACCTGTGCGAGAAAACACGAGATCACACTCAATGACGCAGGATAAAAAAATTGTTGGACATGACTAAATGAACCATAGTTTAGCTAAAATCCAACGAAAAGTTCTTGGCCTTCCTTCCTTTTCTTGCACGATTGATGGTGGATGTGCAGGGTGAACTTGTAGTTTTACAGAGCGTGTTGTCTCTGGCTTGTGTCATGGCTTCGTGCGTAATTGTTTCGACATGACCGAAGAGACTTGTTCAACGATTGTCCCTCTCGTAAACTCTAGCTTACACATGGTATCACTGTCAGAGAGCACGTTGGCAGAACATACTGCGCCCGTGCAAACCCGTAATGTATGCAGAACAGTAGCGTATCTAAGGATGACATTTTATCTAGAAGAAGCAACGTTGACCTGAAATTCAACGAAAACTGTAGCGCAGTACGTTCTGCCGACGTAATGCATGATACACAATTGTTCCCGCTTGCTCACCCATATTCCACGTCGTCCCCACACCCTCCCCACAGCCAGTCTCTGTTCAGGTCCTTCGGTCTCTTCGCTCTGCTGCAGCCGCAGGTGGTCAGCTCGCCTTCCCGGCATGCTCTGCTGACGGCGTTGACTACACCTGCCGCGGCTATGGCGTACGTGAAGGAGGCTTCTCTGCTGCCTGGGGGAAGTAGAGATGTAGAAAACTTAAAAAATGGGAAATTTTAATTGTTCTCAAGCTCAAAAGGAAATTAACTCGAGGGCATATATCAAACAAAATGCACAGTTCCTATGTGATTGACAGATCGCGTTTTGGGTTGCCTTAGTTACAGACACACAGCCAGGTGTCATCAGTGACCTGACATTCCATGGTGTCTTCCCTTCCATTGAAGTACCTTTTAGGCCTTTATCTGGTGCTTATTGTTAAGTGGGTGTCCAGAGATGGGCAGTGATATCGACACCACTCATCCCACCTGTCCCTACCTGACGTATCTGTTTCCCTGTCCTAAGTCCTTGTCCCTTGCGTCCAAAGATGCCTTGCTAAGTGTGTCCGAAGCAGCTAGGTCTGTCTTCAGGTAATCATCTATGAAATATTTCTTTTTTGAAACAAAGTCGCGAAATAGAGTATAGTCGATGCTCATCTCGGTAACCAAAATAAGAAATATTGTGATTTAAAAGGTATTTTTGTTTAAAACGCGATGTCCCTGAAAGTATTACCATCTTTGCACATGCAGAAGACAGAGAAGGTCAGTTACTACGGAGAGTAAATGTATCGGAAAGAGGAGCCGGTCGGCTCGGGTGGACGTTACGGTGGACAGGGCCTGTGATTGACAGCGGGCCGTATGTCAAGCGGTTCCCATTCTCAGCTGTCCTCCGTGTAAAATGTTTGCTACTTGTTAGCGGTGCAACTGCAACTGTAAGCGGAGCCTTGGACGGGAAACGCCGCCTTTCATACACTGTCCCGACTGAAAACATCATGAGATTTGATGCAGCTTTAATGGTGTCTTAATTGGACATAGACAAATATCCCCTGGACCACTTACTGCAATCCCGGATTGAAAGGCCCTCGGTGCCAGACTGACCAGGAATGGGAGCAGGGTAATCCTAAACCAGAATGTCTCACGGTACCCGAGCTCGCGTGACCCCGCCTCTCCAGTTAAGTGGGCCGCGTGCGCCTGTGAACATCCTGACCAAACATCACGGACCTGTATCATGACCCAGCGCAAACTGCTCCTCCCTACTGATGACCCTGACAAGGCGTATACAGTCCTGGTCAGATACTACTGAAGATAATCGAATTGTACCCTACAATAATGTACAAGGACCATCAAAATTCACTGACCATGGACTCGCCACTAGAACAGTGCAGAATTTGGTAGGCCTTTTCCAATGGCAATGAAATAGCGTCATCTCTACAATGAGGAGACATACTTTCTTCTTCATCTAGACAATTTATATGGCGTTTTGAACGAGCCGAGGCGTCGCCAAACATTCTTGAAGAATAGCACGAGACAAAACAGGGTTTTACTAAGTGATATATCGCTGTACAGGCTGTAATTTACGTCATGTATCTTTAGAAACCTGACAGAATTACTACCGATACGCGACGATGGGGCGAACGACCGGCTATTGAACCTCTATAGAAGGGTCGTAGCGGGGAGCGGACGTTCTATGTAGACGCAGTTCGAAGCGCTCCTTATCTTTTCATCAAACTGCGCTATCTTGGCCATATCTGACAGGGTTCTCCTCATGAAGACAACCTGAGAGACAAAGACGCCACCTGTCCGGAACGGTACCCATTGTCCACCTGACAAAGCCTTAAGAGCGACGTGGCTACGTTGGTTAAAGCAGGTCCCCCTCCCTGAGGGATAACACAATGGTTCTTTTTGTCCTTCTTTCAGACGACAGAATGTCTCACTACGTTGGGGCGAACCGGGCGTAGGACAAACATCAGAAGATATATTCCTGACTAAAACGTCGTCTTTTATATGAATAATAAATGAATCAGAGTAACTTCACACACAGAATCCAAGACAAATGCGAATTTGATTTTATGGTCTTTCTCCTCAATTTAAAACATCTATGTAGCTGCTGGACATAACCAACCATAACTATGACATGCCTGTTGTTTTTTCTGGTGTAGTACAGTACTGAGTGGAGGGTGCCATCCATCTCTAAACCGTGAAAGATCAACGACTTTCTGCGTAAATTTCTGCTTGAAGCTGTAACGGATACATGACCGGGCGAAGGCAGCAGCTTGAGAAGCCAACTGGCCAAGCCATTGAAGTTATTAGGATCATTTTAGGCTCAGCAACCACGAAAGGCGGTAAATAACACTTTTTTTGGCCAGCGCTAGCGGGTATACATGCCAAGAGATCAAGTTAGAAACCGCAAAAAGGAAACTACTTTGCAAACAGTAAGATCAGAAGATTTTGATGAGTGTTGGTGGCCATATGAGTGTTGGGGAGCCTGGGTACCGACGTTGGTGAGAGCGGACACACAAGAGGAACGAGCGTAAAACTGACGAGGATACCGTAGCACCCAGACCATCTCTGCATAACACACACGTGTGCGTCCTCAAGAAGGAATGTGTCAAAATGTGGCATACTGTACCATCCACCTACCTATATTGACTATCCTGCCGAAGACGGAGTCCTCATCCGACGTGGTGCAGTTCCATCTCCGGTCCCTAAACTGGTGCTGACACTCCTCTATCCCCTGTCTGGCCCCGATGCCCACAGACGACATGTGGTCCTGATACAGGTTACACAGTTTTCTCTGTCCTGAAGACAGTCCCGCCAGCGTCGTGCACAGCGGCTGAGCCCCGATTATGTACAGTTCCGCCCGAGACAGGCTGTATAATCTCGAATCCACTGCCATTTGCCTGGGAAAAGAAGATAGGAGGAAACAATGATGATCAAAGTCAAAACAATTTGCCATTCTCGTGATTTTCTTTAGATACATCTCCCTCTTGCCGCACAATCGTTTTTGTGCACCTTACATTATTTCAGAGAGAGCTAAGCCACACATCATATTGTATTCCTGTTTGACAGTGTGTTTTATGCTCTAAGGTTTCTATGCATTAAGCTGCTGCTAATCCAGCCTGAGCCTAGGTGCCATACTTGTAGCTACTTCGGTGACGCTCAATTAGAGGAGGGGCGGGGCTAGGTTTTGAGGGAAAATGGAATAATCCCAAACATGTCTAAACTTTACGAGGGAGACACAGTGGCCAAATGACGGTGGCAAGTTTGCGAACCACCTGAGGCAAAGATGTTACAGATACTACAAACATGCGTGGGAATCGAACCCCTGACGTCTTAGTTTACGGGAGTAAGGGGAATTCTGGCACTCCGATAGAGATATCACATCGGGTTTGTTGGTGTTTACGTCGACATGGTGCTTTCCAGGCTTAATCCCAAAATGGTCACTGTTCTGATTACAGAATGCCGTGTAAGCTAGGGAACACCTGCGGGAAAATTAGGGCTTCCTCCCAAGTCGATTTTCGACGGTCAAACGTGCACCTGATTGCTCTCACTTGTAGGACTCTCAAAGTGCTGACAGGATTTCTGACCTTTAAAACTTCTCCTCAAGGCCAAGCTACACTCTTGTAACCCGTATAGTCATTACTTGTCCTCACCAACGTGCGGGCGACACAAAAACGTTGGATGGCGACGCGAGGTTTGAGTTTAGATTTATCGTAGGCGTTGGAGATTTGGCACGTCACTCACGTTTGACCCCAGGTCATCGCCATACAATGCGCATAAAAGCTGGTGTTATACAGCTAGATGATACACGGAATAACCGTAATACGGTTCTATTACCAGGGCGGGGAGGCACGTTTGCTAGCCTGGGTTCCAGGCTGTTGTCAGGGCCAGTATACAGGCTAGCTCCTCGGCTCCAGGGCATACCTATCCCCAACGACGTTTTATCACAGCCTCCGTCAGTTAGACCCTGAGCAACTAACTGGGTCTAACTGGGGACTGATCTGTGTGTTAGCCCTAGGAACCCGGTATTCAGGCTAGCACTTTACTCTATCCGATAATTGAGCCCTTCATCCCCCTCCTTAGTCCCACCTGGTCCCACACATATTTCCACACAAAACGTTTGTGAGTTGACAACATGTAGATTACAGTAGAGATGAGGGTGCCATTCTTTGTCCATATCATCCTCAGTAATTTTGCCTTACCCGATCCGTCTGTTTTATTTTCAGGTCGAGAAGCAGGCAAAGGAAAGATGCGAAAAGCCACCGAAACTTGGAAATTTCTATCAAATGCCATATTTTGCGTGTACGTCTTGAAATTGTACTGCAAGGTACAGGGCAAAATATAGCGATATCTTTTAAGTTAAGCAGATATTTTGAAGTCGTTTGACCTTGATGAAAACGTACTTTTGTGTTTTGTTTTTGTTCTGTTCAAATTGGAAAAGATCCTTCCGCTAAAAAAAGTGACCACAGCGGAGGCCACCTCCATGGCGCCTCTCTATCGGCTAATCTCATGCCTAAGATCAAGAGATTCCTCAATAAATCTTAGAAATCCCACCGAACACTTTAACTACTGCCCGGGGATCGGCCAACATTCCCGACTATGGCTGGTCTGATCTGATAGTGTATGGTCAGCCGGTGGAACGGATTGCGTAAACGGGCGAAAAAGCCATTCATTTCAAACATGCGGGTGCTGTAAGTGTTTGGGCTTAGTGGGTGATATTCTCTCCTCTTCTGAAGTTCACCTGTGCCAAACACAAGAATACCATGCCCCCATCACAGTATATTGGAAGACATTTACTGTACATACATGCATATCCACTGGGTTAAGTACAGGTCACATCAAAGCAGTAGCTCGTATATACATGTATACATGTACATGATCAAGTGAATTGTACCAATACACCATTGATAGTATTACTAGTATTTGATACTCACTGCTTGTAACATAAAAGCTACCAAAACGACGTCGTAAACAAAGTACAAAGTTTCCCCTTTAAAATAGCGATAAGGACAACTGAAAATAACGTTTAATGAGTACGGTTTCTTTTTTAGGCTGGAGTAAAAATACCGTCGTGCCGCCTTTGGGAGGACATTCCGTCCATACTCCCCCCACCTGAGCGGTCGTAAAACACACACGTCCCCGCCGGAAAAGTTGCCTGCTTCCCAGGCGGGCCAGCTGCCCGGCATAGTAGACGTTCTACGTCGTTTTAAGGCTTCAAAACCAGATTTTTCAAAGTTCTAGTCACTTATCTACATACTAAGTTGATAGAACGCTATCCCAATGTTTATGTCAACATTTTATGGCACAAAAAATGCCGAAAATTGTGACAGAAAACCTTAATACTGTACTAGAAAATCTGCAAGCAGATATCGGGATGTCAGATCATAACGTTTCCTCATTGCCCCTAAAACGTCACAGACGTAAACATTGTAGCGTTTTCTCATATAGAATAATACAACCTTCCCTCCTCGTATCTGCTTGGAGACTAGCAAGATGTCACGAACTCTGGACACGGGTACTCACCGATACATAGCGTATAAGTCTTGTAATGTAATATACTAGACTATTACTATTACTATATTAGCCCAATCCTCCTTTATTTCCTAAAACGTAAGATAGGTTTACCATACATGCCACCGCGGGGCTGGATTGCTCGGTTCTTATACAGAGTTGTGCATTGATATAACCAACTCCATTGCCACAAAAGATCGATTGGGTCATACATACGACACATACCAATTACGAGGACGTGCTGTACTACTTTAACAGATGTCCACACAAACATCAAACAAGAAATGACACAAATATATAACACAGGAAGTACGAATATAATCAGAATAATTCTATACATCGGCACCGTCATATCTTTCAGCCTTTCTGGTTGCAGGAATCGCCGTGTCCTAATTTGTACACATGCCGACTGAAAACCCACCTCGGAAAAACTCGGGCAGGGTCGTAGTGTTATTTGTAGAGATCAGATGATATGTCCCGTTCACTGCACAGGCATGCGCCGTCACCGCAGGGGGCCGCATACATGCAATAGCCCCGCAAGTTCGGGCTCCTCTAAATGTTCATGTCGTCTAGATTTTCTGCTATGTCTCTGAGCCAAAAATCCGAAACTCCACACCCTCACCATTCACAAACACGCAGGCCAGTGCGAAAGCAATGCGTGACATTTAAACGTTTTAAAATGAAAACATCCATGCCTAAACGACGACGACAGGGCCCTAATTGACAAATGGCCATTCAACAATTTGCTTCGTAGTAGAACAATTACAAAACAACTCATCATCAACGGATCATTTGGAAAATAAGATATCTGAATGTTATTTTAAAAGGCATTGTAAACAAACGGTTGTTGACGGCATTCAATGTAAATCTGGACTCCTGTCGTCCTAGCATATATAGATCAAGCATTTCCATAGTTGCCACGGCCGAAGCTTTGGCTTTATTTTTTTCATGGCCAAAAGTTTCCCAAATGCCTTTCCAGATATTTCTGTACACTCCAAGCTGAGGTTTAAGCTTATTTTTGGCGTGTTTTCTGTCCGTTTTTATCGGGTCTTCCTTTTTGTACTTACTGGTATCTTACAAGTTACGCCAGCCCAGCGAAAGATCTGCTTGGAGATTAATAAGAAGTTTATTGCAAATTCATGCCCGGGGGGCTAATTGCACATTACAAACATAAAAGAACAATGAAACGTAGTATAAAATAACTAAAATCTACATGATGAAAGGTAGTTGTCTAGAGCTATAGCTATGTCTAAAACTATGTCTAAGGGGTTTGACTTCTCTTTTTTAGACTATGGAAGACGTAATGTCCCACCTTTTCTAAAATTAGTGGGTTTTGGGAAGTTAAAAGAAGAATAGTTTTTTCTTGGTCTGTAAGTTTAGTAAAATTGGGATAAATTGTAGAAGTTTGAATAGTTAACTCATTTCGAGCGTTGCTATGAAAGGAACAATTTGAGATAAAGTGTATTTCGTCTTCCACAGCCTTTGCATTACAATATTTACAAATTCTTTCACATACAGGTAGCCTTCTGTACCGGCCTCTCTCTATCTCCAAAGGATGGGCGCTAACTCTAATTTTGCTAATGGCTGAGCGCAGTTCGAAGTCTGCAAGATTAAGATATCGCTCTGTGTTGTACATAGTTTTACATTTTGCATAAAATCTTAACTTACCACTATCAGTTGACATAGTATGAAAAAATGTTTGTATATGCATATCTGTAAGTCTTCTTCTCAGCATTTTCACAACATGTTCAGGATCATAATGTGAGTTTTCGGAATGCCACAGAAAGGAGTATCCATTGTGATCTAATATGTCTTTAACACGTTGAAGTAAAGTTCGTCTACGGGTATTTGTCGGAAGGCTTTGTTGTAAGAGGATTGCATCCCTTTGAAGGGGGCGTGAAGTTGTATCTAATTGGATCAGGCGTAACCAGAATTTAACTACATATATACAAATATCTATATCTAGAGGGAATCTACCTAATTCTGCTCTACATGCGACATTGCTACTATTTCTATTAATATTAATATTTCTGGTCATCTGGCGGTCTGGGTACCCTGGGTGATGACCGATCAGTCGGAGGGTACATGTAGGCCACCTTCTCACCATTCCTCAGATACTCCAGCCTTCAGCTTCAATCTTTGCACTGTTGGGTTCACTGTTGGGCGGAGTGTACACTGCACGAGTGTGTGTGTGCGCTGGGTACACACGTAATTGCCCTGGAAGTGGCGGAGAGTGTTGGCGCACGGCGCGGGGCGGGCAGATAGTTACCGAGCGGGGAGACGGGAGTCTCGGTATGGGCGGTGTATGGGGCAGGAATGTTCTAACGACGTGCTTTTATCGGTGAGGGGAAACGTCAATCACATACACTATAGGGTTGTTATGTAATAAACAGATAAGGCCCATTAGCACAAGAAGGTTCCCTATCCCCTACGTTTTCAAAATGACTTCTTCCTTTCCATGTACATTAACACAGCAATCATTGCTCTTCGAGGAAAGATGATTTACACCACCAAATATAACATTTATCGGGACTAAAATTTTCCCTATCTTTCCTCTCTTTATCAGTGTTGTTTCCATAATAATCTCTTGTGTGTAAACATAGTAGATTATTTGCTGCCACAATTATCCATGACTCATTCAGTCTAAAGGCGGAAGAACGCTATCTGCGGATTCGAGAACAAATTTGTCAGCCACCGACCAACAAAGTAATTAATTTATGCAACCCGATGCGGTGTTTAGAAGTTTGAGGGTAATTTTCATAATTCCGAGACGACGGTTTCCTGACAGTGACGTATAGAATTGCTGGAATATTTCCATAACATAATTAGTGTGTGTAGATTAGCAATCAACCGTAAACGAAAAGCAATGTTTGAACCGACGAGGTCAAACGAAATGATGACGATTTTACGTCGACATGGTTTACAATATAACACATGCACCCCACACAATGGACACAACGGATAATCCATCCTTCAAACAAGGTGTGCAAACCGGGCAGGTACATCGGCTTTGATGTCCGCCGCTTCCTTTGTGGGAAAGTCCTTTTGTACTGCCAATTTGTGGTTTCTTAGTTTATACAGTTATAGCAAACATGAGGTTGATACTGAAACCCGTGCATACGATACCACTGCGTTGTAAGGTATGAGAATGTCCTGTTTTTTTCTATCGGGCGAAAGTTTGCGAGTTGCACATCGGTACTTTGAACCTCGGTCGGGGTTGGACATTTGTTTTAACATGTTTAATATTGATCGGTAAAAGATGAGGGATCTCACGTTTGCTTTATCTACCGTGACCTTTGTTTCTCTCATGTGTTATCTTTTCACTCCTCAAACATAACTCGTATGTAAAGTCTTTTTGTAATAGCAAACAAACTGTATCATTTGGCGGCCTGCCGAAGCTGAATATATAATACCCGCCATTTTGTCCCACGGCGTAAAAAAACTAAACAAGGCTTTTAAAACCAGTCACGTTCACTGATGGGACAAGTTTAACATTAAAATGACGCTTTGTGGAGAGGTATATTTAGCTGAGGAATCGGTTTCAGTGTTTGGACGTACGAGCGGTCGCTGTTGTTAGCCTCCGTAGCAGGCTTATAGAACTGGAGGTTTGGTGGTCTTCGACTGTTTTCTGATTTAATAGCGCAGTTCTAAACGGGCGTAATTCAACCAGGCCGGCTATGTTGTCTATATGCAATCAGAAAATAGCTCCCAAAGACCCTGAAGACCCCCCAAACCCCCAGTTTTTGGCATGCTATGGAGACTACTCTGTTGTGTCACCGGAGCCCGGGGACGTGAAACGTAAGCCCGCTGCACTAACGCGGTACAACGTTACTCTTCATGTGCCGCGTGGATGGCGGCCACTGCCTGCTTACACCCAACAGTAACAACATTACCCCGCTACCTGGATGACCTAGATTCGAGGAGGACAAAAGCACAGCATCTCTACTATATGTTTTGATGCTATTCAGGGCCTTGCTTTGGTTGTAAACCTGTTATTTATTTGGACGGTCTATTTGACAAGGGCAGGTGGCTTCTAGTTAAAAACATTCTCCACCTGCAGAGAACATTTAACATACTTTTGTACAATTAACTGGGCGACATTATTTTTCTTGTTTGCTTGCTGTCCATTTTACACAATCGCACTCGCACGTACTTAATCATTTTCTGACTCCGGGAACCAGCTGAAGTCGTAAGTCTTCATTGAAATACGACAGCCATTATGATACACGAATGACTTATACATATATAATGATTTAGGAATTCTAGTCAAAATTGTGATGTCGGCGATTATTCAACATAAGCGATGTTGTGGAGAAATATTAGCGGTAATTGTTAGTATCACATGTCGTAAGTCTCTCTTACAAAGGCAGGCGTTGTGAAAATGGCTGACGATTACTCGGCTGGATTATGTACACATACCGTCATGTCATTCCTAGTTGAGTGCAGTTAACTATAGAGGGTTCTGACAACAGAGAAAAATAACAGAGCACAAACGTAAACACGCCCAGGAGAGGCCGCCCGATAAGGCTGACCCCAATTAATGCCTCCAACTGATCCTCCGGACGATAGCGAGGTCTTGTCGTCAAACTGACGACCAATCAGCGTCACTTATTTTTCTAGAATATTATGGTTTATCGTTAGGAAATGTAAAATTCCAAATGTGTATGCTGAAAAGAGTTTTCGTGGGTGCTTAGAAACTATTGGAAATATCATATTCCACATCAGAATATTTCAAAGGTTTTATATAATCTTTGAAGTATATAGAATGCTTAAAAGGTGTTCAAAATATTTCTAAACGGTGAAACTTTTTATTTTAGACAAACAATAACAAGGAATTGAATGATGAATATTAGAACGATGAGAATACTTCTTCCCTTTACCAGTAAAAGGAGAAGGCATGAAGGAAAATAACAGTTGTAGGACCACACATTTCTGTCAGAACACAGGTGAAAATGCCGTGAACTTGCCTATTATTCCCGTATTTATGCAGGGTAAGCCTTATCTACTTGTCCATCTATCTCCGTGAGACAGCTAATTAACCAACATATATCCTGTTTCTCACTGTCAACTTTGTTGTGTAGCAATGTCGGAAGTTTGAGCGTTCCAGTCACAAGGTAACAGAATGTATACATATCAGTTTCACTGTTCAAAAGTACATACGTAACCACGCCCCTCTCTCTATAGCTGATGGAATATGCTATTATCTGTCTTATATTTGCATATTCAGCACTAATTTGTGACATTTGTAAGTAAGAAAACCAACCGTAATTTCTAACACAAGAAATCGGACTTACCCAAATTTTCATGGATTGCCATTCTTTCACAAAGACTGGAGTTGTGCATTCGAAAATTTCGGTAAGTCCAATAATTTCCTTGTGTTTCAAAATTACCATTAAACTTGCTTCACAATGACGTCTACCAACACAAATGAACTTTCAAGATAAGAAAACCAACCTTTACCTTATCCACTCCATTGACTCCTATGCCTAGATAAGTCGATTTAAATGTACAAAATATTTGTATCTTTTCTTACTTAAAGTTTAAGAAGGAGAGATGTACTCACCACCAGGTGGCCCTTACTCTGCCCAGGTGTGTGTAACAGGACAGCAGTGTCACCAGCACCCGCAGTACCCTCAGACTCACTTGTACCGCCATCTTTTACACCGTGGTATCACGCGCGTGGTACTTGGGACGGAGGTACCAAAAGTCCTTTTTGTTTTCTTACGGTTTGAGGAATGTACGTGTGTCCTTGATCCTGTGTCAGTCCTTTCTGTTGTCACTGAGTTAGGAATGTACTCTGGAGGAAGCCCGGTACCACAGTTTAAGATAGCGGTCACCCTTAGTACAATCCGTCTGTATCAGAACTTGGTCCTAAGTTTCACCTGCGATAGGTGAAAGGTAGCTCTCAACTCTCGCACGTAGATCGGTTGTAGTCCAACCCGCGACGGTTGTTCTGTTGAGATGAGCAAAGTGTCCAGGGGAATTTTCCACAGGCAAGTTACGGTTTCCTTTGAACAACACGCAGTGTCAATCCAGAAATCCCATAGAGGTCGTAAACTGAGATTTCCTCACAACTATCTGGTGGAATTTCCTCTCCAAATCTCCTCTCGTCTCGTCTGTTCCTGTTGCTGAAATTCCAGAGTGTTAGACCTGTGTCGTTCAGTAGCGTTCTCGGTGATACAGAAGTGTTGGTCTCATGTGCAGTCGATTACCGTTGTACGCCAAGTCGGTCGGCCACTCGCCGCAGGGCTACTGCACCGTCCTCAAGTCTGAAAAACAAAGACAAGGTTATGGTCATCGACGAGGAATTCCTTCGAGACGCTGTTACAATTTTTCACGGGCTGTCGTCTGGGTTAGCGCGCGGCTGTGGAGCTCCCGTCGCTGTCGGGATGTTGGTAGACGTGAGAGGAGCACAAATTGGCGATTGTTGGGACCAGGCACAGGCTCTGTATGGGGGATCGGTGATTGATGGTACTATAGGAGGAAAATGCCACTCACACAGTACGACATCAGTGTGCATGCAGATACAGACTTTGCCGGCCCCGTGGGACCATTATGCATGATCTAAAGAACCGGGAAACGTCCGAGAACCCTAACCGAATAGTGGAGGAAAATAAACCCTCACAGGAGCAAAACCATCTGGCGATATGGGCAGAAATTATAAGAGATTTACAAAACGTGGTGGTGCCAGCGACTATACCACTCCGGGACGGAGGCCCGGGTCATACATACTAGAGAGTGGTTAATACATTACAGACTAGAACTTGAATGGGAAAACAGAATTACTAAAGCGACTAGAGCTCACATTGAGACAGGGTCTACAGCTGCCTGGCACCGCCACAAACCTGGGTCGAGGTGGGTTGTACCTAGAGTACAGCTGGTTCTACTGGCTTGGTCAAGTCCGTAGTCACGAACACGGGGAGGGTAGCAGGTTCCAAGCGGGCCCTACACCAACCGACGTCCGCCTGTCCTGGAAAGGCAACCCGGTACACGAGGGCCACGGCAAAAATATCCTTGATCCTGGGACAGCGTTCGTGGTGTGCTGTTGTGTTGGGAGAACATACAAGCCGCGGCGACCGTCAACAACAGATCCCTATCAGCCAAGCTCCACTGCCGAACAGAAGCACGGAAAGACACAGGCAGTCCCACACGCCACGATACACGTACGGCAGGCCACACCGCCACCACAGTACGTGCACTTTGTACTGGACTTGGGCACTCAGGACGCACTAGTAGGGATATGTGTTTCCATCCAAGTTCCGGCAAGCTGTTGTCGGTTCCGAAGCGCGGCGTGGAGAGGGTACGGTCGGCCCAGCTACAGGCCACACGGAGCGGCCAGTTGATTGATTGAACAAGGGGGTAACACGCCGGACTGTTTTAGCCGCGGTCACCCCTCTCGGGACCTGATTGGTCAAGCCCATGGCTATTAAACTCTCATCGTTTGCTCCAACGATTAGGCCGGACTAAATCTATACACTGTGTGCCGTTCTAACCTTGTCGGTCTTTCAGAAACGTGGGCTAATTTTTAAAGTGGCAAATTCTAATTGCAAGCGCAAGCAACAAACAATTTGTACATTATATTTACATGCAGAATGTACTCTATGTAACGAAAAAATATGTTATGGCTATAGTATAGCTTTCCCCGTGTTACATTTTGACTACGCCCTATGTACGTATGTCACAATACGTAATACTACTTGTATTCTACAACGTACACAGCTGGCACAACAGAAAAGGAGACTGAACCACGATTGATTGTACAGATATAACAGACAGGAGTTAAGTTAAGCTGAAACCCGCTGGACCGAACCCACCAGTACTTAATACACCCACAAAGCTCTGGTATCTTTGGTTACACTATCCTTTACACTGTTGCTACTGTCTGTAACAACAAACGGCCTGTCATCCCCACAAAAGCCTTCTCTCTCACCCACACCCCTCACCCGGGCGGCAACAAAGGACACCCGACCCCCCCTCACCTCAGGTGTACCGTAAACATACAGCTATGTAACATTGTCTACCTGTCAACTCACGGCACAATGCCACCAAGACCAGAGATGAATTTCTGACCTACAATACGGGGAATGTAAAGAGCGGAGGAACGAGGCGTGTAAAGATCCAAACTCAAATGAACTTTTGTCTATCTGTATCCAAAATCCGAGTGGAACAAAGGGGTCCTTAACACACAGAACGGGACAGGAACCTATATATGCGAATCTGTGTCCGCAGAAGCCCGCCTGTCCTATCTTTTACTCTACTATAGAAAGATCAAAGAAAGTTTTCTATGATCCAGATCCTGCCCGAACGACAAAACAGATAGGACCCCGCCCTTTCCTTGCCCACCTGTGCCAATTATGAACACGTCAAGAGGCGTTGCGAAATTAAAAACAGTCGCTTTCTTCCGGACGAGAGTTACGCATAATACCTGACAAAACCCCTTCTGAAATCCACCAAAACTTCCACTCAAAATCCCCAAATCCGACATATGCGGATGGATACAGCGGACAGACAGACCAAGATCAACACACCCGGCGCTATAGATAGAAAATTACTGACATTTATCATCCTTCAGGGCTGTGGAAAGGACGTCTGGAGACAAAAGACGGCGTCTGTGATCAAAAGACGCCTGTCAGGACTGTTGGAGTCTTAATGTGTGTCTATAAAACGGCGCAGTGTTTGGTTGTGTGCTGCCGGTAGTCCATGCGGATAAAATGGGATCATAGCGACGGATGAAAGACGGCACGGTTAACAGCCAGGTGTGGTTCCATTTATTCAACTCCAGAACGCGCACACAACAGATGAACTGTCAGATAAAATGTACGTGACCTCCGGTTCACCCACACACCGGCGCGTGGCCGTAGGTTCATGCAAATTTCCTATGAATGATGTATCAATGAGGAGGAGATCTGGTGACACTGCTAAACAATTTGGCACCACCCTTCTTGAATGCCGATTAAAATCTGCATGGCTGTCGCTGTATAATTGTAGTATAGAGGTCGGTGTACAGTGCCGCCATGGTTTATTTAGGGGATGGACGGGTCCATGAGTCACCAGAACGGTGAAGGTTAGGTCGATTGATGTTTTTCAGTGAACGGTATCACCGCTATACAAGTCGGTCATTTAGCCCCACCTACGAGTCGCGAGGTGTACTATACCTGCCTTTTAGTATAAACAAACACGTTAGTGAGCCCTCCCGTTATTGTGGAGCTGCCACACTTCTGCACAATGCCGACACCGCACTTGTATTAACTACACAATCAGGACCGAGTTACAAACAGACCCCGCACCCCTCCCTGGACCCATTACCTCCTCATTACTCTGTAGATCGCTTATCGCGAACACCGGGATAGTCCTTTGTCTCTATAGGAACAAAAGGTCCCAGAGGTTTCTGAAGGCAAGGTGATGCACTCTAGAAAACTGCGGAACAGGTGAAACGCGTGCCTTGTGGTATGTCGGCACACCGAGAGGTCGCCTCCGTGTGTGGCGAGTGTTTCCCACAGCGAATGGTTCATTTTGTTACCTGTCTGCGAATGAATGCGAACTTGCTAACGCCACACATGCATGAGAAATGGTCCCGACTTCCTCCGATGAAAGCCGGCTGCCAGCTGCGGGCTAGCCGTGAGCAGCTAGCCGCGAGTCGAGGGCTCTTCGCGCCGACGGGGAAACCGTCGAAAACAAAGTTGACGGACAAGACCGATTACTTCCGAAATGAGCCGCATTGCGACCACCTTAAGTTCATCTATATTATTCTCCTGGCTTACATGTCTATCATTAGCAGCTAATGGACGGACCCAATGGGAATTGTGGGGGCTGGTTCAGTATTAAATTTATCAGTGAGCTTTTTAAAAAAAAAAGTTTAATCTAATTGTTCTACCTATCAGTCATTAGTGCAGTTATCAGGTCTACCGTCTAGAGCTTTTTAGGTACATTTATTTCGAACTTTGCTCCCCCGACCACTAGTCCTTTTGTTGAGTCATGACGCGGGCCCGACTAATTGTTATGGTTCTCGTTCCCGCAGTGTTTACACCCTCGCGGCCACTCGTGCCCAAGGTGTTGACGGACATCAAAGCAGGTCAAGTGAAGTTCACGGCGGTTCATTCACCAGGTTATTTCCCGATCGGGCGCATCGTGGCAGGGGAATCCCGTACTGTAGACATACACGACACAAACCCTAACCCGGGGAAAACCTCTGGAACCTTTGGCCTACAGTACATTGAACTTTCGCACAGAAACAAAACTTGAAATGCAACAATGAGAGAAATAATGATAATATTCTCAAGATTTTAAATTGCAAAGAAGTCTACAATTCAGCCATTAAGACCCTGTTCATACCAGACTTATATTTAGCGGTTTCAACCGGTTTTTCAAAAACCCGGCTAAAACCCTTAGCGTTCATACCAGACTTTTGATAACCGGTTTTGTAAAAATCCTGTCCGGTGAATATCCAATTAATCGGCCATGACTGCAGTTTGAATAACCGTTCCTCCCGCTCTTCTGATTGTTGTCCTTGGCCTTCTTGCTTGTATGCCGTCTTCAGTTTTTTTTTTTACCTTAGTGCAGCACTGATCCTTTATCTTCAAGAAATCAGCCTCCTCCAACATTTTTGTTTCGGTAGAGCCCCTCCCCCCCCCTAGCTTTTTCGAATTTGGCGACTCCTACTCTCCAAACCTTAGTATCAGGAGCGTCCCGTTCGCCGACCAGGTTGCGTTTGCTGATTCCATCGCAAAATGAAGAAAAACCGTGGAAAAACAGTGGAAACGAACTCAAAGTTGGTCAAAACAACGCGATCAAAAAAGCTTGCAGGTCGCACACGGCCAGGATGCTGACCCGTGACCCCGGAATTATGACGCAAAAACCGGTTCAATAAACCCTTAGCGTTCAGACCAGGTTTTTCGGTAGAAAAACCCTTCAAAAACCCCTCAAAAACCACCTCCCGAGGTGGTTTTTCAAAATCGGATTTAAACCCCTAAAAAACCGGTTAATTTGCGTTCACACCAGGTTAAATAAAAACCGGTTTTTGAAAAACCGGTTGAAACCGCTAAATATAAGTCTGGTATGAACAGGGTCTTAGGCTGCCACCGACTTTTAAACCTGTATGTCTATGTATTTGTTTATGTGAATAATAAACCAGTCATCATCATCATCATCAAATATCGTACTAATAATATACAAGTTCCCTAGGTTTTGACATATTTAGTAGATAGCACAAAAAAATTCGTATTATTTATGATATTACGTTCTAATGCCACTGAAATTTTACTTTATCACCATGGCCTGTACTTAGAGCCTATAGGAGCATGAACGTACAATGTCTTTTTGATATATCCATGGAGTTATAATAACTCCATAAAGTGGGAGGGGGAGTAGGAAAATGGGTACCACACTCAAGTTACTGAAAGAACTGAAACTTACGATCAAGCGTCCGATTTAGCTAAGATACTTTTGGAATCAACCACAGCTTGTCTTTTTGTTGTGTCAGTTGTACGTGGGTGCCATATCACTGGATGCCCCTGCTATCAAGGACTCGACTGTCCACCCCATAGCAAGGTGTTCGACTAGCCAGTTTATGGCCTCAGCCCGCTCGCTGTGCCTTATTGGTAGGGCTGGCAGGCCATTAATGTGCAGTTGTCGATATATTATTACAGATGACAGGGGACCATCAATTCTTTTTCCAGCCTAGTACAGCCTAGCCTCTATCAGGCTTCAGAAGCGACTGGAAAGGGCAGACTTTGGTCAAATAGTCAGATAACATACTAGTACTAGGGGAGTTGATCCTCTTGCACCCAATTCTGACGCCTGGTAGAGGCTATATAAGTGCGTTTTTTGCCATCCCTCGCTCATTTTCTGAGCAAGGCTATAGCATCGATATCGCCTAGACTGATGAGCATATATTGTAATTCGGTATTCTACTGTAACTTGGTATTCTACCAGCCTTGTTTTTAAAAATGGAAGTATTTATTACAAATACTATCGTCAGTAAGTTTTTAGATATCATTTCCCCTAGTGTAATACCGTGGGAAGAAAACTATCATTGCACCCCTCCCCCATATGTACACATGGATTGGTCATGCACTCGTCATGCACTACAACAGACCCTCTAACGCCAAGGACGACCTTTATTAAAAGTTTATTCAGTATGACGTCAGGCGTTGACAGACCTGACACCCTGTACAGGGAAGGGCGGAGATTTGATGATTGACATGGTGGTCGGATAACAGTGGAATGATAAATTTTAGGCCATGTTGATTTGATTGTATGGATGACATCCACGCGCGCATGAATTTTCGTCCGTTTCCAAAAAAAAAGTTTTCGACCATGCTGTA